CACAGTACCTAGTATTCCCAAACGGTCACCCATCTAAGTACTGACCAGTCTCGACGTCTCTTAACTTCTGTTAACTTACGGGAACCGATGTTTCAATGTGATATGGCCGTAAGCCTTCATAATGACATAAAAGCTTGGAAAACTTAACTCTCACAAAGCATATCGAGGACAAGTTAGATAGACGAAGGTTTTTTTACAGTAAAGTTCACCCTGTACAAGGCCCGGGGGCCACTCGTGGTAGAGGGTTAAGTTAAGGGGTTATTTTAAATGAATATCAGGGGAATATATTTGTTAACCCAAGCTGTTAAGATTGTAGTGTACGGGGAAAATCCTCTTGGGTGTCTGTTCCACAGTGCAGTGGTTCGCGGGAAGAAGCTGTTCGAGTGTAACTTACTTCTCGTTTGGACCAGCGGTCCGAGTGAAAACACTCGGGTCCCCACGTTAAAAATGACCTTGTGTCACAACCTGTTTCATTGTGGGGGGGAGGGTCAAGTAAATATCTACTTCTCGTCGATGGAACCACCTATCTAACAGGCATGTGTGAATGAATGGAGAGACGTGTTCGGGAAGCTTTACAAAGTGAGAAATGACACTAATAGTCACGATGGAAAGGAAGTTGTGAAGAGCCATGATCGGGCACGTCCTGAAGTGACCCGGCACATAGAAGAAGATACTTACAAATCTCTGTATAGATTTAACATAGTATACAAAAATAGAAAGGAGCGTCTTCTTACCAGACTTATTCAACCTATACAACGAGGCAATTCTTGGAGAATTGGCGATCCTACCAGTATTCAGCATTTGGCGGCCACAATCTTATCAACATAAGATACGCAGATGACACACTACTGATAGCAGACACGGAAAAGAAATTATAAAACCTCCCACGGAAGTTAGCGAGGGAGAACGAGAACGGACTAAGAATAAAGTACAAGAAGACAGAATGCATGTTCATCAGTAAAACGATGAGCCCGAAATGAGATTTACAGGTCGGGGACAGTAAAATCAAACAAGTGTGGAAGTTCAAATATCTGGGAAGTGTTTTGAAAGAGTATGGTAGGTGCGACGCTGAGATCCGAAGACGGATTGGGATGGCCAAGAATGCATTCCAAAAGAGACAGGAGGATTTCTCTGGTAACAAAAAAAAGAGTACTGAGCTGCTACGTGACATCTTTCCTCCCATACGGCAGCGAATGTTGGACGGCCTCCTCAAAGATGAAGAAGAGACTCGATGTAGTTCTACAGAAGGATGCTAAGGATATCATGGAGCGAGCATGTGAGCAACGATGATGTTTTGGAGAGGATGCAAACAAAGAGGAAGCTTATATTTAACATCAGGAAGAGGCAGCTGAAATTTCTGGCACATGTAATGAGAAAGAAGGGCTTTGAGAATCTGATACTCACAGGTTGAATAAAGGGAAAATGAGACAAGCCAAAGCAACGCATGACATATTTGGCGAGCTTAAGCAAGTGGATGGCAGGACGTCGTCTGAGGGAGCTGACAGAGGCACGAAACTTACTGAAAGCTACAAGGGACAGGGCGTAGTGGAGAGCCATGATCGCCTACGTACTGAAGGGACACGGCACATCAAAAGAAAGATGCCTTTCCCGTTCATATTCAGTGCATGAGAACTGGTGATAGGCATGTTCTTACGCGCGTCGGTGCGGCAGTGAGCACGCAAAATAGTTCCTTTCCTCTGTCCTATTTGGATCTGTACCAAAGTAAAGAGCTGTAAGATTGATGATAATGATGTATTAATCCCCAAATAAATTAAGTCATTCGAAACCGGCAAAATATTCGTGATTCCCGCCTAAGCATTTCAGTAATTTAGTATGAGCACATGTTATAAAAGTGATGCGGAACTTCGATGTGGTTTAATGGTTAACAAGCTTGTCTCACTAGATTAATTACGACTGAGTAGTGCGTTCGATCTTCATTGGGTGCCCCATCCGTTCAGCCTTGTGCCACATGCTACGTTTAGAAAACCACCGTATTATGGAAGTGTTGTGAGCCGAGTTCGAATTTCAGTCGACTCCATTACATTCGTATAGAGTATAGCTTGCCATTCGTATTCGTCGGCTAGCCAATCCCTATCGCAGACGCTAACTCAGGCGCATTTTTGCTTATTTAACACCCACAGATCCCACCTGTGGTTTATGCTGCAACTATGCTGAGCAGACCTTGGTTACAGTTTCTGGAAAAGAGCATGTTATTTCGCGTGATCAGCAATTTGAACAAGGCCAGCACTTTCAAATTCTCGGTGACGATACGATAATTTCTGACTTCGTGCCAGCACAGCTATCGACGGCCCCGAAGGGTTCCGTCTACCTAGTTTCACTCACAAGGCATGAGTCAACCAGTGATATAGTTTTCAGGTTCCAAAGGTGCCACACGCTGGGATCGGCCCCTCCAGTCCGCTAACATCAGGAAGTCTTTCTGACAAATTGACCATGGGTCTCATTGTCAGAATGCGAAAGTTCTAACCACTCGGCTACGTGCCCATCCATTACATTCACTTATGTGTTAATACTCTTGGGAAAGGTATGAATCCTCTTCTTCTCCTCTCGGCTATGGGTAAATAGCAGGACAGGCTGGGTTCTATAGCCTTTCATGGCAACTGGTCTAACGCAGAAAGAAATGGCAACCTACTTCGGGAAATAAATCTGCCTTGTCAGTCATGTATCGAAAGATACATGATCGCCCAAGCGTGTATCACACATGGCACATAACTGTGAGCATAGAATTGTGGTTATCAGCGCGGAAATTGGTGTGTCAAGTTTGAATACCGGCCATAGCTTTGTTTTTTTTATTATTTAAAACGATGTTCACCCTGTGCAAGGCCCAAGAGGCACACGAGGTAGAGGGTTACAGAGTAAGAGGCACAATGTATGAAGATATGTGTGGAAGATAACGGTTGACCCTAGAATTGAACACGTTAAGTCTGCAGTGATCGGGGAAACATCTTATTTGGAGTTGGTTCCACAAAGCAGCAATTCGTGGAATTAAGCTGCTCAAGTGGAACTTACATCTCACCAATGGAATACGAAGGGAATGGGGTTGGTTCGCAATAATGAGCTTGTCGTGGTGGGTCTTAGCCGAGCAATGAGGAGAAAGGTAAGTATCTCGTAGCTTGGTGAGGAAGACGGCTGAGGGAATTTCATTTAAGTCGAGCGTCGTGATCTGCTGCCGTTTGTTGCCGATTGTCTATCTGGAAACTTTGCTTAAATACCCATCAAAGAGATCATGAAACATTCTTTTTTACTGTTGGTGGAAAAGCGACCCGTTGGTTGAAATATGGCAACATAAGGAAGAGACAGCTGAAATATCTGGGACACGTAATGAGAAAGGAGGGCCGAGAGAATCTGATACTCACAGATCGAATAGAGGGAAAATGACATTGACGAAGTATTAATCTTTTAACGGGAACAATGCGCAATCACCCGACTCAGAAACCATATTTTACCATTTGGTATTTGAATGTCTTGGTGCTTATTTTCGTCTTCGCTCCACATAAGAATCTCTTCAAATGTTTCTTCAAAATAGTAAAGGATTAATAAAGAAAAGAATGAAGAAAAGAATGTTCTTTATACTTTTCGTGTTTCTTCATTAACATAATGATCGGTATTTTTGTCTTTCTGCTTTGTTTCCATGGCGGAAATATTCTTTAGTATTCTTTCAACTTTTTCTTCTCTCCACCCATTTTTAATAAAATAAAGTACTCTGATTTTCTTTATAGAATGCACCGTCGTTATCATCATCATCATCATCATCATCATCATCTTCTCAAAAATCAACTTCATGATCGTCACTGCCATCATCATCAGCATTCTTCTTTTACGTGCCGCGTCTCTTCAAGACGTGGAAGGCCTTGATTCTCCACAACTTCCTGTTTTTTTTTTCTGGCTCGAAGTAATTTTTGATACTACCATCCATCTTTGCACTTGTTCCCCCATCCATTCGCACACACTCGTAAAGAAGTTTACTCGCTCTTCAATATGCACCGTAAGGGTTCAATTCTCATTAGGTGTCCCAAAAATTCCAACAGAATCTTTCTGAGTGTAAGTGCTCGGTCTCATGTTGACTGCTGACCTGAGATGGAACAAATACATTGAGTCAATTGCTTTGTCCACCGCAAGGAAAGTTGGCTCCCTGTGCCGCGCCAGGAAATTTTTCTCCCCGAAATCGATCCTTTAGATCTACAAATCGCCCTTGCATGGAATATTGCTGCAATATATGGTCTGGAGCCCCTTCTGTTTGCCTCGGGGTTCTTGATAAGCTCCAGAGGCGGATATGCAATATAATTGGCTCTGTTCTGACATCTCGTCTACAGTCGCTCTCTCACAGACGCGCCGTTGCCTCTCTCTGTCTTTTTTACAAATACTTTCATGGTAATTGCTCCGATGAGCTGCTTCCGCTGGTTCCCAGAATGCAAGCGCCCTACGAGGCTGGCATCCCGCTCTCACCCTTTCACTGTCGAAACTATTAAATGTAGCCGTCTCTTCTACTCCAATAGCTTCATATCTCGCACCTCCCTTCCCTATTCCAGTCTCCCTGAGAGCTATAATCTCCAACTATTCAAATGTAATGTCAATCGACATCTCCAGTTGCCTTGATCTATCCACTATCCTTCTCTTCATCCTTTCCTCTATCACTCCTATCTGATCTTGCTCCAAATCTTCTGTAACCCCTTGCGTTCTAGAGGCTTCTCGCCTTGCTTGGGGTGAAACGCTTAAAAAAAAAACATAGGTTTCCATGTAGTTCCTATTTTCCTTTTAAAATTCCTTGTTCTTAACCGGCTCTTTACATGATGATGGTAGAACCATATCTGTGTCATCTCAATTCAATTTGTGAGGAAATTATTCAGCATTCACTATCATATCGGAAATTAGCTATTTCATATCAGTTTTATTTATTTAATTTTATCTATTTATTTATTTGTCTATTTTTATATGGGAATTCGGCATCTGAACTAGCCATGAGTTTACCCGCCATATTAATCTTCCTTAGTCATTCGACCAGGCCGCTGGAATTTTTATGTAAAAGGCTAAATTGTTCTAAGTACCGTTAAACATTTTCGTCACTTTTTTTTAATTTTCTTCCTTTCCTTTCCC